CAATTATTTTTTTTTCCTCTTCAAAAAATAAAAAGGAGCCGGAGTCGCCCCCTTTTTTGGCGGCTCCGGCTCCGGCTCCGGCTCCGGGCTATATTGTTTCACGGCTCTGGCTCCGGCTCCGGCTCCGGGCAAAATATGCCGGCTCCGGCGGCTCCGGCTCCGACTCCGGCTCCGGCTCCGCATCCCTGTTCCTGACAGCACCGACTCGGATACAAAGATGGAGCTCATCTTCCAAGCTAACTAGAAACCAGTTCTTTGATGGAAGATGTGATGCTGCCTCTGTCTGCTTTGTTGGCCAATTTGGACGGGGCCGAGCTCCGCGCTCCTTGCGTGAGCGGCTATTCGCCTGTCATCCAGAAATAGTTCCTTCGTCTGCTGACCGTTCCCTAATCATGTGCAATACGGGGAGCTGTAATAAGGGAAGCAACTTTCCATATGAAAGGGGTGTAGGTAGGTGCTCCCCCATCCACTAGAAATGCACTCCCATCAAGTCAAAGTGCACCCCCATAGGCTAAGCGGCGCCCCACACGCCGCCCAACACCGATTAGCTCTATAGAGCAGATGGCGAGGGTGATTTCCCGGCTACATCCCATCTCGGTGTCGTGATGCTTGCGGGCTTGGGAAGCGTCCAGTCGTATGTAGGGTAGTGTAGGGGTACGGTTGAGTTCAATAAGGCCCTTACATTTGAAAGGTTTGAACAACCCGCAATCAGCACAACATACCACAAGTTAAATAAAAAACTACCAAACTCCGCCCAACTAATATTAATAAACAGGTACAAGTTTTTAGAGTCAAACTAATCATGGCCTAAATAAAAATATATCTCAAATCATAACCGTTATCGCGCGTGATGGCGCCATGATTTGCTAATTGCTGTTATCCAAAACGGATGCAAAATAAACATGTTTGTATGTTATATGTATGTATGTTTGTTTTAAAAACGTTGCAGCGGCGCTGGGGACTGCAGTCTTAGATCTGGGTATGTTTGGCATCTGCACAACTCTTGATATACACATTAACCCTATTTCGGACGGGGAGGCCTTTCAGGATTTTCTTGTGCAATTGTCAAACGCCGCGAGACATTCAGCTCATATTTGGTGATTTTTCCTAAATGCTCATTGCGCACATCTCAGCAAAAAAAAAAAATGACGGGTCAGGTCAGGTCAGGTAACCAGAAGGGGTTTGTTGGCTACACCTCAGAAAAGTTTGCAATCACGTCAGAGTTTGATTTTTTTCACGGAGCTATTTCCTCTCATAAAACAATACCTCCAGTATGTGTCGTTTGTACCTATATCTCAGAAATTTTATCTGTGACAGGTCAGGTCAGAGTCGCGACCTTTACATTGCAAGCCTATGAAAAAATATTGAAATGCTACCTGCCTCGAGTAAACGAGTCCAAACTACCCAATTCTTTAAGAATTTTATGACAAATTATCTTATCTGTAGGTAATGATCCAGGTGCCATTTACTGACAGGGGCACCGGAGAGGGTTATCTGAGGGCGGGATCATGCGAGGTGAAATCTACCATACATCAATGCTCACAATACTTACAATATAGACAATGCTTACAATACTGTTACAATACTTACGATGAGACAAGCAAGCACTCTGCCGTTACAGTTCTAACTTCTAACTTCTGTTTCGAAAACCAACGTTACACACATTCGCTGCCAGCATAACATGTATTGTTTGACAGTAACAAAATACAATTGACATCTGAACCCCCAACGGACCGCCATCCACTCAAATTTAATAACCCTGACCGGTCAGGGGGCGAACGGAGGTCATCTCCTGGGCATTACACTCAGACCTTGCACAAAATATCTCACCTCACAGTGATCATCACAACAATACCGCCGACTAACTAGTAGATTTCCAGGTACATACTTGCATCAGCTCTTCTTGCTATTGCAGACGATCATCTTCTCAGGGTAATGTTGTTCGGGACATGAACAAAGATCTTTTTCGGAGTTTCATGAGTGCTACTGCAACAGCCTGGCATAAAACAGGACTTGTACGCTTTTCCCTGCACTTTGCCCTTCAGTATCTCACAAAAGAATTGTTTAAAATCCATCTTACGCTTCTTTCACAGCCTCCCTTGCCACCGTAGATGAATTGCTGTTGCTGGTAGGTAAGTTAGGGCACGGTAGATAGAAATTACCTCGGTTCTCAACGCCTTAAGTTATTTTTATGAAAAAGAACAAAGAAATTATTAACCCGCGCCCCGTTGGGCTCTGCCGAGCAACGCGCCCCGTTGGGGGGGGGGGGCATTTTGGCCCCCCCCCCTAAGATCTCGAGAACCACGCAACGTAGCGACAAGCGGCAAACGGTGTTGGATAGCCCTATCAGGGAACTACCTTGTGACCCAATTTTATTGACCTAGGTCAAACCGATGACGTCACAGGTCAGGTCAAAGGTCCAATTTTCACCGTTTACAGGCATTTCAAGAAATGCGTTGTAAAATCGAGTAAAATGCATTTCATTGAAAATAATCGATGGGGAAATGTTCTTCAAACACATATTTTGCTAGTTGAGGTCACTGATACCAGGTCAGGTCACTGAGGTCAGGTCACTGGGGGGTCACAATATGAAAGTGTCGTGTGATACATGTTTTATGGTCCATTTTACATGACAAATGCGATTATGTGGGTCAGGCAGCCTTTGGGGCCAGCTTAGGTCACGTTTTGGTCAAGGTCAGGTCAAGGTCAGGTCAAGGTCAGGTCAAATAAGGTCAAATTTCAAAGTTGATATTTTTGCATAAAATGGGTATCGAATCGATGCAGCTTGTCACGGGGAGTTCAATGGTGCTCTTTGTTTTGACGTACGAGGTCTAGAATCGCTAAAAATTGAGTTCAAAAATTTGACGTCATCATTTTTGAACAGTTTTTTTCGCTATAACTTGGCCAAAAAACGAGATATCGATCTGAAATTTGGTATGTATATAGAAGAGCGCAGGGACTATCACATATATTCCGGTTTTTTTCGAAATTCGGAAAAATTTTGGATTTTTTTTAGTTTTTCTAAAAAAATCAATTTTTTGAAATTTTTTGGGTCAAAAACTCAAAATTTTGAAAATCCGAGATAGCAGTTTTGTAGCGCCGCTTTTTGTCTATTAGACCATATAAAGAACTTTGAAATTGCTTGATAACTGTAGATTTGGTGAGCGTTTCAAGATTGCATGTTTTTTGCTCATTTTTGCTCGAACATGACCTCAGTTTGACCTCAATAACTCCTGACCTAAGGTGACCTAAGACTTGAAATTTGGTGTGAAGGTGTCAAATTGATGCCCGAAAAGGTACTGAAAATTTGGCGGCGCTGCGCGCCGCCGTTTTCTTGCTATTCAGGAAAAACCACAGGGGGGGCCAAAATGGCCCCCCCAACGGGGCGAGGGTTAATAAGATTAGATAAATGTTGAAATATTAATTGTAAATTAGGCGAAATGCGTATTGGAAAGGGCTTTTGCCCTTCAGCGTCTTCCGATTCATCATGTTTTTCATTTGAAAATTCGAGGTACACAAAATGTTTACCACGCGCTCAATGTTAAATGGGAACAGTACACGGCAGAGCACCAATTTTTGACACTGAACCTTCATCCGTGAATGATTTAGCATAATTTAAAGCTAAAAACAGCGCGAATGGCAGAGTGAAACAAGCAACCTCTTTCACACATAGAAATAACATGTAATCGGTGGTGCGCCAGATGCGCCGTTATTTGTCAACCGCAGAAGGTGACATGTGACGTAACAGCATCAAGAGCGTCTTTTTCAAGAACTTTGAAAAACATGTTTTCTATCTGTCTTCTCCCATTTCTCTCAGCATATTGATTTTATGAGGAAATTGTATGCACCATAAATTCTGCGAAAACAGTTTGATCATTTCTATACATTCTTAAAAAATCGAGTTCCCAACCCCATTGCGGGTATGAATACATGGCGATTACTCGAACAGTGTCATTGTACATGGGGATTCCGAGCTAGTTCATCCTGATTTGGACTAACCGTTTTTGCTTCGCAATAAGGTTTAAATTACTCGATAAATACGGATTCATTAGCAAGTTAGTTGTTTGAACACATCGTTAAAGTGAGTCAGAAAACTCAAACTGTGCTAACATTTTTTACAGTGTATGTACAAAGTCACGTGTCGCGTCGCTGCCTCCGCGTAGCTGTTTCTAATTCAGTGTCACCGGCACCGTCTCCTGTTCAGATATTGGAAATCCTGCTTGATGCGCATGTACGAGTATATCGTATACCCTAAACTGAATAAAACTCATGTTCTAACAGATAACGGTTCTCTTTACTTCGTCGTGACAATCCGACTTCTGAACTTCACGGTGTAACCTGACCTGAAATCGAGGAGTTTTAAATAACAAACGGAACACTCAAAGACGTCATGGTCAGACCAGACGCTCAATTTTGTTGAGTTTACTAGTCAAACGGCTTCACAGACAAGAGCGCGACATAAAAACAGCGACCCAAAACAGCCACTGAAAAACATCAGCTCACAATAGTATCCGAGGCTAAGGCGGCTGCCACAGCGGCCACTGCACGCCTCAGCAACTGTTTGAAACGGTTACTTACTGGCGAGATGGCGCGACCGCCGAGGAACGGCGACCGAGGGGAATAGCGAGCTGCTAGGGGGAGGGGGAGAAGACACTGGTGGGGAATAGACGGGCTATCATGCAAGGATTTTTATATACCTACATTGTATACCTAGGTACTGTTTATTGAAAAAAAGAACTCTTTTTTTGGATGGAACGTTATTTCGCTTCATATCAATATCATTGTCAAGCATTCGAATACACTGATATTTGATTATCGCTTGGAAAGAAATCCGTGAATGTTATGGATACAAACGATTACAATTTTTCCAGTAATATTTTCATTTCAGTACATCATGTTCTTATTTTTTAATTATAGGATTTCACTTGAGTTGAGTATTCAATGTGCATAGGTCGGTACAAATGCGAAAGTATTCACTAAGTTGCGTGATTTTCTTGCAGGTACGGATTTACAAGAGAAGTGATCGCAAAATATAAGGTAAGATTCATACTGGTTATCCATCACAAAAACAGACTGTGCACTTCATATCCTGCTTAACCTGATGGACTAACTGATGCAACATATACTAACTTCTATAACTAACTTACTTTATCCCGTTGGATCTTTGAAGTCTTTGTATCTCTATTTTTCTAGTGTAGCAAAAACTATTATAAAGTTTGTCTACCGAATTATAAGTTGTTAGTCATAATACCATTTTTAAACTTTTAATGCGCCTAACATCCTTATTAAAAGACGTTCACCATTTCCACTCTCGCTCAATCTGTCCCTCCCATCCTCTGAGAAACTCGGGGTGTGAAACTTCTCACCCCGACCCTCCCTCACCCACCCTAACGTTTTCCCACTCCTTACACCTCTCTCTCTCTCTCTCTCTCTCTCTCTCTCTCTCTCTCTCTCTCTCTCTCTCTCTCTCTCTCTCTCTCTCTCTCTCTCTCTCTCTCTCTCTCTCTCTCTCTCTCTCTCTCTCTCTCTCTCTCTCTCTCTCTTCTCTCTCTCTCTCTCTCTCTCTCTCTCTCTCTCTCTCTCTCTCTCTCTCTCTCTCTCTCTCTCTCTCTCTCTCTCTCTCTCTCTCTCTCTCTCTCTCTCTCTCCCTTTCATAGAACAATCGACCGTTAGGCGTCAAACTTTTCCAGAAAGTCGCGCCAGCCCATCAGGCGCAGTCATGGTCGCCCGTCCTGCGACATTTGTCTCCCGTGGAGATACTCAATCTACCGCAGACTACCAGGTATCTCTGAATGACCTCGAACGACAGAGCCAAATATAGCACCTTTTCTGGGCACTGCCATGATGCCAAAGCAAGACAAAAGACACCGCTCGTTGGTGGTTTAGAGACCTGCAGTTCAACTATGTCGGAACTTAATGTGCGCTGTGCGATTTTTGTCTCCATTCTTCAAATAGCCTCAGCTAATTTGTCGTCCCGTTATCCATTTATATGCAACATTTCCATTCAACCACTTGTTGGCAGTAGGATTGTCTTCCAAGTGCAGCACTTCAAAGTCACAACAGCAGGACCGCAGCCATTGTTGCTACTGGATGTGAACAGCGGCAGTACAGGCCGAATTGAGGCCAGGGCCGCAGAATATAGCCCAGCGGATCAAGAGAACGATGCAATCTGGGTAGCCATATGAGCACGATCCCAAGCCAGCGGCAGAGATATCGCAAAAATCCCGCGGCGTGGTTGTGTTATCGGAATACATCGAGGAGTCTGGAGTAGGTTTTCAGTGAAGAGCTTCGCGAGACAGTCACATCTACCCCCTGATCTACCCGACGTATTCATCTGTCAATAGAGCTTTGATATCGTGAAATAGTCAATAGTGGCCTGGAGTAACCCGAGGGCCATGCTGTCTGCCGAAGAAAAACTTGGTCTGGATGGCTCGTGTCCAGCTTCCGAAAAAGCTCAGTGGCTGCTGGTTGCGCCCTATCTCAGCCCGATTAGATGCATCGTGACTTGAAATAGACCATTCTTGTCACTATTTCGGCATATAAGGCTATTAGAGTTGAAAAAACCGATGCAGATGCAAGCTGTAAATGGTGCTCATTTCATCTAATTGTCATCCATGCCATGCCTAGCATGCCATACCATACCATGCCACATCATGTCCATTGTCCATATACATATGTAAAGCCTATCGACTTGAATACCGAGGCGAGCGAGCCGAAGGGCTTCTATCCTTGGTAAGTGAAGTCTGTCAAAAAGCCAGTGACGTTATAAATAAACGTCAGTCGTTAGCAGATCTTTGGTTCGACGCCTGCTTACGCAAGTGGTCAGGCAGTATGCCTCCATCTTATCCACTAGTAGAAATAATGAAATATCTAACATTTGACATACTCTGGTCGCAGACTGGTTACCTGATACCAAACTAATACGCGAAGCCTTTCGACAATACGGCCTTGACAGAAAGCCTATGTACAGTGGATCTAGTAAGGATCTCCAGACGTTACTAGATGGCGTTGAGCCTCAGTTGAGTCCATGTCAAATTCAAGGGGAGGTCAGTACCGAGCTGGGCCCGATGGGGAGGTGGGCGGTGGGGGGGGGGGGGGCGGTTGGCGAGGTCACGGTGCGGGTGACCTGTCAAACAGCCCCGGCGCGGTGGAGCACTGCCGTAGGCAAATGGCGCACTCCAGTGTTGTTCCATATCGCGGTGGTGGGCCGGGCGGCCGGTTAGCTTGGCTGCTTGGAGGAAAAGATAATGAGGCATGGGTTTGCTGTGGCCGGTTCATCTACGGTCAACTATGATGAACCCAAAGTAATGCAAATATGATGTTGGTAATGCAGCTGGCAATGGAATGCTAGCGAATGCTCCGAGCGCCCGAAGGATTAAGATTATTTATGTCTCCTGAAATTTTCATTGAATATAATTCAAGCACTAGAAATATCGTATAGTTCGCCAATTTTTTTGACCGGCTGGCGTTTCTTGCGTAGAGCGCCCTTGGGCAAATAATTATCACGCAGGTGATTTATTTTTTGCTGGTAAGATTTAAGGTCAAATCAAGTCGGTGACAGGAGATGAGGAAAAGCGGACGAATGCCACATTTTTGTGCATAAAGTCTCGATTGAAAAAAGCTTAAAGTTATTATACGTGTAAGCTAAAAAACAATAAGATCAGTTAATAAAAATATTTGACCCGAAATTGGCCTCTGTTTTCTCTGACCATGATTGCGTGTAAGACACAGGTCCAACCGGCTTCAACCCGACCCAACACGGCTCGGCTCCCCCTTTTTTAATATAAATTTGGCCCGAACCTTTTGAATGAAAGGAATCATAAGGAAAGAGTCCCCGCTAAGCTGAGCTTGTTGCGTTGACCCTACCCTCTACCCTCCGATCAAGCAATTTCTGGTCTATGGCAGAATTTAGAGTCCAAAGTTTAACGTGCGCACATAGCCGCGCACGGCCGATCCCCTCACTGACTTCGTCTGGCAGCGGCCTGCCACCAACCACAACCATACCCGTCAGGAGCTCAAAAAACGTCAAGCACACGTCGCGTTTCGAACCCGGACTTTTGCAGCCGGGACGTGCGCTCTCACCACACGGAGTCCAACGCCCTACCGACCGAGCTACCGGGACGGACATTTACCTAGGGGCTTCGCCTCGTGACAATGACAGACGTCAGACACTTTGGCCTAACTATAGCCGTAGCACTGAGCAAGCTGCGCGGGGCGACAGGTGCTCGTAGCGTTTAGGTTGGGTAACCTGTGAGCTGAACGCGATGTCGTGAGTTCGAGCCCCACTCCCGGGTCCATGGTTTTATCTGGACACGAACCAAAACCTTTGCTTCTACTGCAACACAGACAAGCACGATGACATCTTTCGCCAACATCTTTCCCCAAAATCCTCTAAAAAAAAGTCAAAATTATCGCTTATAAATGTCTAGCTAAGTTTCATTTTTAGAGAAAATATTTTTGGTCATTTTCCGGAGCCATTTTAACTCTTTCTTTTCGGATTCTATTCGACCCGATAAAACTCATCAAAACTGAACGTGCCAAATGAAAAAATACCCAACTCAAATAACATTTTAGAAAAGCCTAAGACTGACATCATGCAACTATCGGCTGAATAGTTGCATGCTATGAATACGTCCTAGATTTCAATTATCATTGTTCAAGATTTTGGCTGGAACTGGCGCTGCCTCTCGCTTGTCCGTTTGTTTGAGATAATGATTCCCTTCAGTCGCATTCTTGCTGGTTCCACATGAACAGGATACCACCATACCGGAGTGAACGCACCCGCAACCATCATCCCCTCCCCTCAGCCTCGGCGCAGTGGCGGGCGGCCCTGGGCGGCCCACTCCCGGCGCTACGCACGCCCCATGCGCCGTGATACCGCGTCACTCCCCCTCCCTCCTTCCCCCACAATGACCGGTGACCTCACTTCCCTCGGGATTTGGACTCGCCCTACCCCGACCGTAGCGCCACGTGGTGGCTCTGGAGATCTTAAATAGACCCACTGTACGGCCTTGACAGAAAGGATCTTCGCAAAAAGATGGTCGCTTTTCCAGGCTCAAGCTGCCGCAATCGGTTACGGTATGATCATGAAGCGATTGGTAGCTGAGAATCCTTGCGTGGTTTGCTCGAGGTTAAGGTATATTATAAGTTTATTTTCACTAAATAAATATTTTACCATGCTTACACCATCAACAATCGATTTCCAGAAGAAGGAACATGCATAACAAAATTTATTCGTTCCAGCGAGCCATTTTGTTTTATCATTTTCCGAAACCGCTTAGGGACAACTGCTGCTGAGTGGTTTTGTTACTTCGGTTTTCTTGGTGTAGAAAAATGCAGTGTTGAAACGATATTCACACAGATTACACATATCTATTGTCCAGTAATCAGCCGCCACATCAAAAATTTACCGCGCCCTGCCCTCTGCCGTGGCTCTGACTGCCATTTCCGCAGTCAGGAGACTGTCATACCACACTACCCCAGTCAGAAGTCCTGACTGGTCCCCGAGCGCACAGAGAAGACCTGTGTGCTGGAGCGCCGGTACAGACCGGCCTCGGTAACCCTTCTCGCCTGCTTAGCACTGTGTGTATGTGTAATTTGACAAATATATTACTGAGCATAAAAATACCCGTAAAACCCTCCTCCTCTTGCTGCAGATGCACGCGTCCCCGCTGCTCTCGCTGCTCGCTGAGGTGTTCTCCTGGCTGCCGGTGGGCACGGTGATCGACAACCGCGTGCTGGTGGTACACGGAGGAGTCACCTCTCAGCTGGACATCGGATGGCTGCAGGGCGTCGACAGACATCTGGTGAGTACACAACACACCCCCTTGCGCACCCTGGCGACAGCGAGGGGAGGTACTGACGTGTGTGGGTGGAGGGCAATGATGACCATTGTGGTTCACAAATTGTGTTCTTTAAAATGCACGATGAGATAATGCTGATCAAAGATTATGTACGTACACCTGTCCCTTGAATTAAGTAATATGCCCAAGTCACTAACGTTATTTATTCATTGATTCATTTATGTTTTTATTCATTTGTTTCTTTAGGCATTCTAGCATATTGCCTTTCTTTTCCTCCCCCTCGGCAATAAATGTGTGTTATAAACTCCTCACGAAAACCTATATGGTGGAAGCCATTATGTTTGCCGACAAGCTAGTATTGGCCGCCCCAGGCAGATCGCGACAGATGCTTGGCTTACTCGACGGCAGAAGGACGCAGCGTCACCAGGACGCGCTAGTGGCATGGTGCAAACACATATGTAAAATACAATAAAGATTGCCACTGAGGACAGGTACTACAATGCTTGCTGCGTCCTAGGCGAACTTAACCTAAATAAAATAGCAATATTGAAATAACAGCGAGGAGAAACAAAGAGAAAATCAGTATTACAGTGTACGTTTATTCCATCTTTACACACTCTTGATCAGACCGTGGATGTAATGCACAAAGTCCCTTCCTATTTCCTTGTGTCGCTAACGTCAGTGCTAGGGTATCAGCTACAGCACGTAAGCCACAGCAAACTGACAATAGCTCCAAACAACTCCTTCACAGATTCACAGAAACCCGAAATATCTCCAGAGCCCGAGAGAGCGTCACGTAAACAACGGACCACCGAGGATGATTGTTTATCAGAGACCATACTACTGCAGAGCTTTCGAGGAGAAAATTGGAAACGGAATTTGATCTGTACCGTAGCAGCCAACTTCGGAAACGGAGAGCAAGGCAGTGAGATGAAGTAATGCCAGAGTCCGCCATATCTTGAATGGAAGGGAACTGGGTGCTGTTTCAGCAGCATTTGTATAAGAATAATAACGCATGGCTTTCCCTTTTCAGTATACTTCCGTTCTTCGGATGCCCGATCAAATGCATCGAGAAAGCCCAACGGAACTTCTGCGTCGTAACTACGAATGGAAACAGGTAGGTGTGCCAACCAGCGTGACGGAAAATGGCTGTTAATCGTCTGAGTTGTTCTTCCCCGCGCTGCATTAGCCATTTATTGTTCAGTTGTTCCCCGATCGCTGCATTAGCTGCATCACTGATCAGTGACCATAGCATATGCCTTCTTTTTCTCGGCACCACTTACCATGCCTGACAAATCCATTAAGCTTTAGAAGTACGCCTAAAGTACTTATAGTACTTACATATGACTGTGTGTTTCAATCTTGGGCCGGCGATGCTTTCAAGTCATTTGGCCGTATTACACCCATCCTCATTGGAACCCAGGATTATTGTAGGCATAAAGCTTCGTTCGTATGTATCCCGGGCAAACCATTGCACGAATGCATCATTCAGCATCAACATTTTATTCCTGGACTAGTTTGACTTCTTTTGTGCCTCCGGAAACAAATATAGTCAGGAGTCCCCTCGCTGATTTTATGGTATGGGCCTATTTTAGTCCTTGTTTATAGGCTCAGTCAAATATCTCGCGAATTTGTGAGCATCCCCTACGAAAATTGATACGATGTCATGAATGGCCTGTTAAGGAAATTTATAACGGAAGAGCTGTACTTCCAAACTGCCAGCTTTACGATACGAGCCTACGACTCCCTATCCTGTGACAGCTAAGTGGCCCTTTGATCTGATTGTCCACGAACTTTGGTAGTTGGTACGGCGCTATCTTAATTCGCGGCACGTCTCAAACGAAGCAGACATGCTATGTGGATTTACAGGCTTACAGTGCAATAGTACCACTTGGCGACACCCATCGCAGAGGGCCTAGCTGAGGGCACGTATGTCCTGGACTTTGCTGAAATGAAAGAGGTCTTCATGAAGTTCATTTACCAGCATTGCATCGCATAACATACAAAGTACAAGTCAAGTAGTTGGTGGCTTCTGGATGGGTAATAAGTTGGAAAGAGAATTGCCGCTCTTTTGTAAAGAAGAATAAAAAACGATATAACTATGTTCTATGACATTATATGCTTTCATTTTTCAATGGGACGTTATATGTCATTGTCAATGATCTAGTGGCACTTGTGCCGGGTTCAATAGCGTACTGAACTCATGCTAACATTTTTGGCTAATGTATCTAACTTCTCATGAATGTGGCATGGTTATAACCCGAATACTACCAAAGCATCATGCTATACATATTCTGTGCGCCCCACGTTTCCATTACCCTAACACGCCGGTGAACTTTGTCGCCTGCAGATGCTGGACGTGCTGTGGAGCGACCCGCAGAACAGTCCCGGCTACACCCCCAACACGTTCCGCGGGGGCGGCTGCTACTTCGGCCCGGACGTCACAGCCACGGCGCTGCGCAACAATCACCTCCAGCTGCTGATCCGCTCACACGAGTGCAAGGCGGATGGATACGAATTTACACACGAGGGGAAGGTGAGTGAGACACAATAGCGGGAAGGTGGGACACAACAGCGGGAAGGTGGGACACATGGGACTTATGAAGTATGGTGAGACGCAGACGAGGTTATAAGGAGGTACAACGGCGGGAAGGTGGGATAAAGGATGAATGGTGAGACACATAAGAGACATGATGAGATGGCATGGTCAGATGAAATGCGAGTACTGGAGTCAAAAGAGTCGGTAGACGTATCCAGAGTCTGCGTAGTGTGTATGTATTTACCGTATGTGAAGTAGTTTGCAACGTGAATCGATTCTGGAGCTTTTCAGCAGTAATGCGTTATTCAAAGAAGCTAACTTTCAAATACAGAATGCATCAAAGGTTCTGAATCGGGTACGTCTTCGGTTGGAAGCTCACAATGCTTCTCAATATTCGAATTTGATGGATCTATCGAAATGTTCCAATTCCTAGAAGCTGTTCTTGCTTGCAACGAGCTAGATCACCATCCTAGCACAAAATTAACCAATCTTATCAGAGTGTTTTTGAGTCGGCAGATTCCTTGAAAGCTGATTGGTTGATTCAGACGATCGTTTTATTACCCTGATTGAAAACATGCTCAAGCGGAAACTTACTGGAATCACTACAGCGGTATTGGGCATACAAACCCAATTTTCTTGCACACTTAAAGATCTTCACTCGCTGGCTAGAGCCAATTGAAGCATAATTGATAAGAAAACCGTTAAATTACGTCTCCTACAACGTAACCAAAGTTTCAAGTTCAGCGCAGCTCTAAAGAAGTATGCAAACTATTCTCTTTAAAGCATCTGAAGATGTTCTGTCCTGAACGTAAAACTATGTTCACACTTCACGAGTTGACGTAGTGTTATTACACTCTGTATCCTGTATTCCCATATCGCTTCGAGCTGCTGACATTGCGCTGAGAATCTTTGACTCGCCCACATTTTCCGGCAGTGTTTGACGATATTCTCGGCGTCCAACTACTACGGGCCGGGCTCGAACCGGGGCGCCTACGTGGTGCTGCAGGGACCCGAGCTGAGGCCGCACTTTGTCCAGTTCACCGCTCAGACCAAGACCAAGTACATCTCGATGAGACAGCGTGTCGGAGCTCTGGAGGCGTCTGCGCTAGCCGAGCTCCGAAATAAAATACTGGCCTCCAAACAAGTGTTGATACACGAGTTCAAGAAATGCGATCCTTCTAGGAAAGGTAAGGATCCGTGAGAGAAGAGGATGAGATCGAATGCTTATGCTGTTCACTGTTCAGTTCAAGAGGTATTGTTGGATTGTGGGTTTTATTGAACTACATGCATCTGCTCCATCTGTTAGAATAAAGCTATTTCATCTAAAAATCGTTTTATCCTATCTAACAACGAAGTGAGACTACATAGAATATACGTCTGTGTTGAATAGCTTGCAGCTGAAGCAGCGACCTTCAAAAAGCGAACCTCTGGTAAAAGTTTGGCAACAAAACGTTCGGAGGAGAGGAGATGTTGGAGCTTAGGGGTTTTTCCCCACGTGCTCGGACAAAATCTGCCATTCTCAGCAAGTCCATTCAGCCTAAATTGCGACTGTCGCTTGGCGTACCTATTTTTATCATAATCCGCCCAACAGTGGCAAACTGAGATATGAAATGATTTCATCTCTCGAACTGGCCTTGGCGACCGGATGTATGTCAACTTCAGCATTCCTTAGATAGAAAAGTTTCACCGGGAAAATATAGGAAAAAGCGGTCAGCGGGCCCGGTCCGTGCACAGCTCCGGCGCTGGGTCGATGGCGCGGGCGGCGTGCCTTCGGGCAGCCTTTCATCCTCCGGCTCGTTGGGACTAAGTGCTCTTTGACAGCCTCCTAAGCACAACAGCCGCTCTCAGAGTGGTAACGAAGTGTCGGACGGCGTCCGTCGGACGAGACTGCCGCCACACCGTGGGGCGTAAATGGACTCATTTGGGCGGCACTTCCGACAAAGGCCTGTTGATGCCAACGATGTGAAACACAGGCGAAGAGCGACGAAATATCTTCCAAAAACGGACAACTGCTTGTTTACATGGCTACCTAGCAGTGTTGTGCCTCTATCACTTATCAATCACCGAGGATTGAGCACATGAGTTTGTCCACATTTTTTTAAAAGTTACATGCAACGGCAAGCCTCAAGTGCACAACTTCACAAGTGCTAACTTCTTGCTCAAGTCGCTGACATTTCCAGGTGCTTGTTGGCGTTGATGCTCTTGTATTTAGGAAGGAAAGCAGCTGTGCGGTGACAACATAGTTCCCAGCCGAATAACCGGAATGGAACCAAGTTCTCGTTACACAGGCGACTTTATGGTTAACCAGATTGGAATCGCGTGCTCTCCTAGCCGAATGGCAATTTATGGCGCTGTATTGACTGCAAAATGGCCGGTCACCTGTTGAATCCTAATTTTCGTGTCGGCGGGCCAGCTACACGAAGCGGCTGAAAAATTGCAGCTGAAAGGCACCATCAGAAACGCTTTACATCGCTTATGTAGATGATCTTCCCATTCTGATCATCCTATCTGTTAAGATGCGACTGACTGGCATCGCCCTGGTGACAGAGACAGACGGCAGTGTCCGAGTCGCAGTCTGGTTAGTAGCCTGCCGACCGTGACTGAGTCTGACAGACTGACTGACGTCTGCCCTTAGGACTGATTTCGCCGGCCGACTGGGTGTCGGTGATGGAACAGCACTGCTCCCCGAACATTCCCTGGAGGACCCTGCGGGACAAGATCGTCCCCCCGCGGCCAGACGGACAGATACGCTACCTGGACACATTCAGCGAGACGGCCACCACGCCAGGAGCCAAGGTGAGGAGTTAGGGGCCCGCGTAGATACGGCCACCACGTCAAGGGCCAAGGAGAATCCAGTTACTTCACAGGCTCCTCCACCATGCGAGGTGCCGAGTTGAGGGGTTAGGGCCCCACAGATACCGCGGCACCACACCAGGGGCCAAGATGAGGAAATATAGATATAAGGAGCCAGCACCGCGCCTGTGATTATATGTAACATATTCTGTTTTATGTGCTGTTATACTCAAAATCATAGCACGGTATTCAACTGCAGTAAATTAACGCTTTTATATACTAGATTTGTGTCTCTCTTGGCCTCTTGGTCTCTGCTTCTCTCGGCAGTAAATTCCATTCGTTCGTGGTGATTCATTAACTTATTAAATCAAAACAGATTAAGGCTGCACTTCATTAAATGCAAATGTACAAGTGGTCTTTCTAATGTTGCGATTAGTTCCACGATCGCTGCCCAAAACTTATGTCGAGTTATCAGTCGCTGTAACAGCTAGCATCTTTATACGCGTATGTACAGTTAGCGCTCCAACACTTAAAACGTCGGGACCACGCGCGCCAAGAAGCGTTGTTTACGAGCTCGGGGGACTCTGATTTCAAAGCTGAGGTCGTCTTCTGCAAATGAATGCGAAATCCGAGTGGAAAACTCGCAGCTCAGTTTCTATCCATAGTGAAGCATTCGGAATACATCTCTTGAAAGAAAAAAGAACGTAAGTTTAGAAATACACAACATAAGGAATGCAAAATAAAACGTAACTTTACCTTTCTGGCATTTGCCTGTCGCTATGCATAATGTGATGGCAAACACTTCCAACAATAGAAACTTTACATTAGCGTAATAGTTAGTCATCCCAATTAGCACTATCTAGCTAAGTGACTTACGCAAACAACAAAAATGCGTCCAGAAAAGACAAGCCAGCTCTGGAATAGCTTAAAACTCGCAAGCATCGATATTTCTGCTGGTTCTTCAACCTCACAAATCTCTTTTTGAGCCCCCACGTCAATACCTATCACGGAGAAAGCCATATATTAGCTCGCCTCACGTCCTGCTGGGGCTGTTTTTACCATTTTCGCAAGGCTACTGATCTCAGCATGTTTACACCAGGAGCCTTTACGGAGTTACGGCACCTAAGGGAGGCGGGACAGAGACCCAATCAAGATCAAACTGACACCACATACGGGGTCCGATTAGTAATATACCGCTTTGAAAGGCTCTCCCATCGCTGAACTAAGGATGCACATTGCACATTTGCTCCATGTCCCAAATGAATTTCTTAATCATGATGATTTGATTCCACAGTTCCATAATTCACTTTGCCATTTTCCTTCATTTACTGATGTGGCATGATTCTTGATCTAAGCTAGGAACCTTTCATCTGAACCCGTAAATATTATCAAGGTAATTGAGCAGCTTCCCGTCACCATATTTAAGTACACCTACTAAGAACCACCCAAACAACCAACCAGCTATAGGTGCCCTGGCCTGAGCAACAGATCTATAGCCTACAAGATGTTGTCCTTTTTCAGCGAGACCGACCATCGTTTAAGCGTGACCGTTTCTCATTTCCGTGTCGTCGCGAAAGTCATTTTGAAATGTAACTAGCGGTTGGCACGAGAAATGGGCAAGAACAAAAAAGAACTGTGGAACATTTTGTCTATACCGCTGACTATTCTGACCTTGTTCGGTTCGGATAAAAGGGAGAACGTGTTTGTTGTAAGTATATCCACCATCATGGTCCCATTGCAGGCTGCTGTTTATTCCTCGCCTATTCCCGGAGCTGTTCCATCTTTTTGGCTGTCACACTAAGCGGATTCATCGACCGCACGTAAGCCTTCATATCCCGCGGGGGAAAAACATACCCTTTTCCCACCCAAATGGAAAATGATGTAGACAAAGATAAAGGCAAGGCTCAATCTTCCCCTACATTTATGAATTACTTTACTGCGCAGAAGCTCAGTAGGAGCTTTCAGTGACCTACCGCTCCCTATGCCTACATTCCCGCAAACTTGCAGCTGGCTAAAGCTGACTCATGTAGGCTAAAACTGACCCAATTGCTAGGCCGCAGTTGGGCTACAGCTAGTCCGAGCTAGACCAAAGCTAGTCCAAGCTAAACAAAAGCTGTTCCGTGCTGGCCGCAGGTGCTCAGCGCCGAGCCACAGCGACTGATCAGAGCCGAGTCACCGCGACTGCTCGTCCGCTGTCGGATAAAATGTCCCCTGGCGTGACTCCATCAGTGGACGCGTTCCGCCCGAGTCTGGTGGGACTCCCCAGTCTCCATGGCGGCAGAAGACGATACATGCACCCGTCAGACGCCCCAGTCCCCAGACAGAGACGCTATCGGAGATGTGACGTGCTGGCCTGCTCCTGCCACTCATCATATACTCGGAGAATGACACCCGAGAAGGCTGGCATCTTTGCAATGTCACATTGAGTATTAAGCGTCTTGGGATATTTCTTAAGATATTGCGTGTATCGCGCGCTTGATAAGATGGTACCTTGCATCACATACTGTAATATTGACCCACCGGCTTACGAGTAATAATGACACATCATGCCATCGCTCATCATGTATTGGATTTTTTTAGTGCGGTGTTGTTGTTATGTATTATTCATCATCAACTGTTTGCACTTCCCTTCTCACGCACACACAGCTTGATTATGTATGCATCATTCAGCGTGCGGTGGGCCACGAACAACGATCAATGGCCGGGACACCGCCAGCCCGTGTATGACGTCAGTGGGTCAGTGTGTGACGTCACCCGGGGTTCATGTGTGTGTGCCACAGGAGAGTCCGAGCGTCGTCGAGGCTCTCTATCGAAACCGGGACCGGCTGGAGACGATATTCCGCATACTCGACAAGGACCATTCAGGTAAGATTGACCTTTCAATTCGGCCATTGAGTTGGAGCTGAAAGAGTAATGCACCTGCATTCTGCAAGCTCTGATGGTTGCGATCCGACGTCGAAATACAACTTTGGAAATAAAGTGATAAATGCTAACAGTGGAGTGTAAAGTTCATGAAACAGAGTAAATAAACTTACAATAGTTCGTGTGAATTACATCCTCGCATCAAATATAAATTGATAGTAGCCAGTCTGCTATTTATCACGATTGATATTGACATTACCTGCCACATTGTCAATAGCTTGTGAGGGGCCATAATGAGTGGTATTGCACCGGTCAGTGCTTAGAGTTCAGTCGTTTGTTCTTATTTACGAGAAGGGCAAGTGCCTTCCACATGCCATCTTATATTGCCCTCCCATTCCCGTGCCGATAGGGTTTCTCTTGTTATATTCTCTTCCCTCTCCCGTGCCGTCAGGTTTTCTCTCATCATAACCCCGTCCCATTTCCGTGCCGTCAGGGTTTCTCTCTCTGGACGAGTTCGCCGACGCGTGCTCTCTGCTGCGTAACTACCTCTGCGAGCCCATCCCCTACGACGAAATGGTCAACATGGCTCGCAGTATGGACATCAACAAGGACGGCTTCATCGACTTCAACGAGTTCCTGGAGACGTTCCGTCTGGTAGACATGGACAGCGGCTATGTCACCGACGACACCTGATGCTGAGGAAGGAAGACGACGCTGAAATGATATGTGTGTGACGTCACACATTGACGTCACGAACTGAGGTTTGACGTCAGACTCACGTAGTGTGCAAAGAACTCGAGTGATGAGATACCTATGTGAACCCACGATGCCAGTTGGCTCGGATAAGTGATGACGGATGTTATCCTCTTGCATGGTGGCGACATTAGTCCGATGTTCATTGAGGGGTTTGAGGAAGATAACGCCCGTCTTTTCCAGCACAATATGACCAATGTGTGTTTAATTGTTGACCCACGTGGGCGGAGAATCTATCCTGACCGGCAAGGACCATTTCCTAGTCGATTACGGCTATTCCCGAACTGTTATATCCAGATCTCTATTGTTAGTCATTAGCGAATGTGGCTACTTGCTATTGTGTGCGTACATTAGGGTCGCATTATCCTACTTTGTCGCTTAAAGCGAAACATACAGAAGCTTTCAACGGACCCTGGGCTCGCTGCCGATGCGCTCCTCCAATGCGTTTCGCCCCATCTGATATTATTGTGGTGCGCGAGTTGTTTTTTACTGTTGGTGTTACTGATGCGCCGAGAATAAACCATTGGAAGGGCTAATTAGGTATGCAATGCCATCCAGAAACCCAATAAAATGCGAGCAGTTTGGAAGCTATTCAAGTAGAATTGCTATTGTAGAATTTAAGCAAGCTAATGAGAATGAACAAGGCGATAGCAAACAACAATTTCACGGCAACTTTTCGGAACATAATTACCTACGTTAGGCTACTCAGACATACGAGCATGTAGTGCTGGAATTCGTTTATTACTGAGTGAAGTTACCGAATTATTGCGATATCAATTATATGCGGCATACCGACATGGCCTCATTATACTCGTATGAACGGTGCTTTGGGAGTTTATCACCTCGCGCTACATTTGTACAAACGGTGTGTGCGGCTGAAATGTCCCAAGGCGGCGAAAGAGCCCTATTTTTGTGGACCACCCGCTACGATACCGCACTATAGCTTGCATGGGGTACTGAGGCACGGAACGGTAGCCTAATTCTTTCGTGTGAGGTCGGTTTTTGAATACCGTTTGGGGAGTTGAATGTCAATGGCCTGGCGCTGTTTCATGTTTACTGCGTGTGCAAAAGGCCTGTGGAATTGAGCGGTGCATATTGAGAGGAGTATTGTATCGAATGAAACCAGTCTGCTTCGCGAGCTTCTAAAGGTCGAGTGTTTTTCTCGTTGAATATTTCATCTCATTGCTGTTAATAAACATTGCTCCAGTCCTAGTCTGACGCATAATTACATGGCATCAGGCGGAAAATGAGTTAGCAGCGCGGCATGTAAAATGATTCAGCAAGGCATGGGCTGAACAACGCGGGCTTGAAACAAGATTTTGGTTTCCAAGTATTAACAGTTGATTTGTTAAAAAAAAAATAGTCAGATCACGGATTACCTTGTACCTATACCTATCTCGTGACCTGGGAATGGGCTTATCGGTAAATCTTTGGGTGCACTGTCGTTTGTCCACAGAGCAAAATAATTGATTGACTGTTGCTGATTCAATTATCTGATTGTTCAGTGTCAGAATGGGCAAAGTAATTATTTATGACGCTATGATAAGGAGATACGATTGACATGCAGGAAGTACGGAGTGTCGGGGGCACGGGGAATTACCACCGGGCCATAGGGCCAGGGAATATGGTCATATGGCCAGGGAACTCTCACATCGCTGTCTCCTCACATAGCTCACATAGCTGTCTCCATAATCTCAAGCTACTTACAAGTAAAATTTAAATGTTTTTGATGGCGTGCGCTCCCGTTGCTGCACTGGTCGGACCTCAATGTGCAGCACCGAGCCCCCTCCTTGAGCATGAGTATTGGTCCCTCCCACACCAGAAATGACCCATCGCTGACCAGAATCAACCCTTCTCAACATCCCTGGTTACCTGCCTGTCAGTGGACCAATGCCTGGCCTGACAAAGTACAAACAACTTGAGCAGCAGATGAGGCGAGGACTCACAACGCACCACATTCCCTGCAGTAGTGCTATCTGGCGGAAAACACGGACGTCGGGACGTGCCGCCTGCGACCTCTACAGGTCGATGGACCAAGCGGACGGCGCTGGTGGATCCGAACAGCGAGACAGGGGAGAGGTGGCGCTGCAACTGGGCGAGCCACACAGCGGAGGCGCCACCTGCCTCATGCCTGCCCTCGCCGCATACTGAGGCTGTATGGGAGGCAAGGGAAGACTGAAAAGCCCAGTTGAAGCCTTTAGGAAATACTTTTAGGGCAATTTACATGCTTATGACTTTTTCGCACGCACATAAAACATTGGTTGAGTTCCAAGAAGTAGATAAACATTTATAAAGTTAGAAATAGGTAGGTAACAGTTAGTTAAAAATGTTTCCTTCCTCCTGCAATGTTCCAAGTTTTATCAATGAAAACTTGGAACTCAAAAATAATAAAATAACTGCATGCATGCATTTCAATGTTGTGTATTAGAGATGTCATTCGGATACCAACCTTTTGGTATACCGATACCAAACCGATACCAACTTGGTACCTACACCTGTATTTGGTATTTCAAGGCGAGTGGATTTGGTATTTTTTGGTATATTATGAATCCTCACTAATGTAAAAGAGGCTGAGAATTTGGTATAAAGTCGGTATTTTCTTCATATTCCCAAGTCGGTTTGGTTTCGTTATTTTTCCATGGATATTGTTGGTATTTGGTTTGGTATCGGTATCTCGATTTTCCGTAATTGACATCACTATTGTGTATCGTACTAACATCAAAAGCCCTGCACATACGGTGTGGAAATTACGGCTTTGTTTGTTTCACTTTGTCGAGACGAATTAACATGTCACAGGTCACCCTATTGATTTTTGACAGCTCGTCCAGCTCGACAGCTCGACAGAGGTAGCACAAACATTTTTTCTACAATGCAGCAAGAAACACATGGCTTAAATATGACATTTCAAAACGAGACAAAACGCTGAATAAGTATGACGCCTAATACCACAGTATCATCACTAAGCCACCCTGCGCGTGAGAAGCCGCAGGCGTCCCACAGCAGCTGCTCGATTCTCCGAGAGTGTCCCGTCATCACAGATAGCAGGCGGCGGCTCGGCAGATATACCCCCAGCGCCCGTCTCCGCCATTGGCAGTCTCTGCGGTACGCCTAGTGGACCAGTCGCCAACACTTCTGCAGGAGGTACCGCGGCGGTCAGACATCGTACAACTCGCCACCTCTCCAGTCACCGCCGTCATGACGCCCTCTCTCCGTGCGCTGCTCGTCACGCTCTCACTCGCCGTCTCGGTAAGCTCGGAGGGCTGTCCCTCCGGCTGGGTGGCGTTCCGCGACAGCTGCTACTACCGCTCCACCTACACCATCGAGTGGGAGACGGCCAACGAGATATGCGCCGCCATCCAGCCGGCCGCGCGCCAGCCCTCAGTGCACGACCTGGTCACAGACGCGTTTATCGCCGAGACCCTTCTGGGCGGCGACCGCGCCTGGCTCGGGCTGAGCCGCGTGGATGGGGTCTGGAGCTGGTCGGACGGATCGGCCGACGACTGGCACTACTGGTACTGTGACCAGCCCGGCCCCACTGGTGACGCGTGCGTCATCACCAACTACGCCGGCACAGGGAAGTGGGCCACCTACCGCTGCATCGACCCGCACTACTTCTTGTGTCAGGTGGAAGCGGAGAATGTTACAGCGACGGCCGTCTAGTGAGGCTGAGGAGCAGGTGGCCCTGCATGGGTGATGGCCCACCTGATCTGAGGACTGAGACTTGCATACAATGTATTTGAGAACATCGTGCCAATACTAAAAAAGCATCTCCAAACAGAATTACCCTGATACCAAGAATGTCGTGAGCTTATGTAAAAACAGCGCGACAAATGGACTGCAGCTAGGTATTTATGCGCAATAATCAAGTGTTCGAAACCGAGCTAAAATGACAAATACACATGTAAGAAACAAAAATCAATTCTCACAACTATGGATCGCTACATCACAAAACATATGGTATGAGTCACAGGACAAAGTTGTATCGCTGGCTAGCGCTATTGTGGCGAACAGTCGCACGCTCGCTCTTCACAGGAGGCGATGGGGAGGGGGGGGGGGGGGGGGAGCAGCGCTAATGGTCCCTGGGAACCGGGCAGCTGCCGGCCGTGTGGCCTTCTCCACAATGAAGGCAGAAGGTGGCTCCGAGTGGGCCACAGCTACAGAGTGGAAACAACGGAAGCGCTGTTGACATCTGTAGTAGTGGGAAAGGCGCCGAAAATACGAAATATAGTGGTAAGTTATGATGCATCTGAAGTCTGAAAGTGGCGGTGAACATCCGAGGCGTACAAAGGGAAAATTCATTGTTGAAGCTGATTTGGCTTGACTTTGAGCATTACCTTGAAAACACCTTTCATAATCAATTTCGAACGTTTCACGTGAGCACCCAGCTTTGGAACCAGAAATGCCGTTATCCTGATAAATAGTTAATCACCATGGTAAATCATCACCATTCAAACTGAGCGGTCAGAGTAGGTCAGAACTCAGAGCCAGCATTCACTAATCAGCGCAGCGGCTAAGGCCCTAATTTGCCACTCACCAGACTGTGTGGGCGGCATTCACACACTTATGAATACATCATTTGTAAAGCTTAATGAAAGCGTCGTTTATTCAATTGCCAATGGGTTAATTGCGAACATTGCCACTAAGCAAATTGGCAAGGACAATACCTGCATTCCGACAGTTCTGACTTCTGACACGCCCCAACTTATTGAAATATTTCATCAGAAAATAGCCTCGCAAATATTTTATGACCTACATAGCCGCTTCCATCGTCCATCAAAAGATTCGTGGTTCAGAACCGATCAACTATCTATGAGAAAAAAAAAAAGCTTCATAAATAGCTGTCCTATACAACCTAGCTTTGACTTGTTATCACCAGGGTCAAGAAGGCAACTGAAAAGTAAAATATTGGTAGGCGGCGTCAATCTTTCGTAACTCCTTGCAGCCATTCATAAAAATAATAAGCAGTCAACATGTCAGTGACATTGGCTCGCTAAGCTGAAGAACAATGAATGAAAATAAACATTTTTATTCATAAAAATGCCACACGATCATTTGATGAGTATTGAGATCTACTGACGGTGCATTGTAATTCTGCCGGGTCAGAGTTGGCCGACGAAAGCCTGACTGCGTGGATTGTGGCGTTGGTTATTGACGGCATCATGCCGGTAATCCTTTGTTTTGACGGGAGCAGAAAAAGGCGTTCCGGCTGGCGAGATATCGAACGGCCAGATTCACACTGCTATCAGGCTAACGTGCGGATATTTTTGGTAGCCATTCACGCACAAAAAGAAGCAGCGCAGCCATTCATTTATGTCATCACAATCGATATGCAGCGCAGTTATCCCCCCCCCCCCCTCCAATAGTAGTCTGTAGGCCAACTCGGCCCGTTCACCCACGCTCTCTCAGCCGATACCTATGCAGCATAACCATCCCCCGAACAAACTCCCGCCCATACGGCCCATGCACTATCACCGACCTTCGAGCCTCATCTGCCGCCGATCTCGGCTCGACGATCGCGTGGCGGCCGCCCTCTATCTCCCTACAGCCGGGCCAATCGGGCAAAACGAGCGGAAAGTGCGTCCATCGGCGCCGACGGTCGGGTTGGACGGGGGCGGCCGAGCGTGAGCCCCCCGGCACGGCCGTTTGAACGCCCCGCGACCTCCGTCGCGTCGGCCGTGCTCTGTGACGATCTGGCGGTGCGGCGCTGGTGACGCGGAAGCGACGAACGCCGTCGGGAAATCACTATGCATTGGTGGAGTCAGAGGACGACTGCAGTGACGCAGTGACGCTCAGCAGTGACGACTGCACCGGGGAGGGACTCGACTGATCTCGAAGGTCCCGGGTGTCTCACAAAGGCGCTGACATTTGGGACTGCTGAGTGCTGACTGGGACACAGTTGGGCGTATTGTTTGGACGGATCGGTACCTATGCTATCAGCTATTAACAGCCATACACATTACACATTGCACAATGTGCATCGCAAATTTAGAGAATTTTCATTGCTCCGATGAGTGGAAGATCAGGATCTTCTTGAAAATCTGTGAACTGTGAATCGTACCAATGCCCAATTTCTGAATGAATATATTCCTTTTCTGTCAAGTATCATGTAAAATACAAAGCTATTAAGTAATTAGCTGTTATATAGCAGCAGTGGCCACTTTTGTACTACTATGTGATATTTGCAGTGCAGCATCTGCATTCTGCATCCTATGCTGGTTGAAATTTCATAACCATTGCCTTCATCAGCCGAAGACTGAGTGCGGTGATAATCTCAAACAGTGGTGCCAGATGTCCCTTACGATGTCCAACATTGTATAAGCTGGTCGCATTTCAACTGTGCTCTGGCCTAATGTCCATGTTATATCCATTAGTAGCCGGGCCGTCTGACGGCAGCTGGTGCTCGGTTCAGTCGGTAGCAGCTGCTCTCCAGTACAGCTGGCGGCAGCTCGTCACATTTTCATCAGGCCGCGCGGTGCGGCCGGCGACTCGGGCGGCCTGACCGCGCCCGACAGCTGACATCTGTCGTCTGCCAGCTTACTGTCATCCGGCGCACGGCTGCCGTCCGTCAGCCCAGCCGTCAGAGGTCGGCCGAGCGGCCGGCGCAGCCGCCCGCCGCCCACTTAGTGGATTAAACTCGGCCGCCGCCGCCCCGGTCCGCTGCGAAACGGGCGGCCAGAGCCCAGCAGCCGCCGCGGCGCTCGCACAGTGATATTGCCGGCTGCATAGGGCGTCTCAGAAGCCGAGCAGCAAATGAGTTTGAAACAACAGAGCTGCCGCCCCTGTTATTACTTCCGGCCGCTCGACTTCCGAGAGGGTCTGCGTGGGGCGCTCGTGCAGACCTTTGTTTAGGCAGCCATTGTAGCTTAATTACTCGCAATGGAGAACGCAGAATAGACCGACATGTTTCAGTTGAATACTAAGACAGAGAAGTAAGAGAATGCAGACGGACAAATTATCCCTTTGCATAACACCAGTTATCTAATGAAATATTAATTCGTCTAAGATTAAATCGTCCCCAAATGAGCGTGCATAACGCATAGAACAATTCTCATCAGCCACCCATATCCTTACACGCAGGCTAAAACGACACACAAACTGCACCACAAAACTTAAATCACCTTGAAACCGCACCCTATAAACCATGCAATAGCCCCGCCAATAAAAGCCGCTCCGTTTCTGCAGCCTATAGCCGACGCAACAGCGGTCGTGTAGGTCCATTTGGGCGCCGATCCGCCTATACCAGCACCAGCAGCGCCTTCAGACGGAGCGGGCCGGCGGCCGGTCGTTTTTACGAGCCATGTGTGCGGCCAATGTGCTGAAAATGCTGATGGACGTCCGTTAGTGAGGCGCTGTATCGTGCCGACGCCACTGTATCAAACCGTGCCGCTCCATTGGGGATCGATGCGCGCCTCGGATTATCGGTCACCGAACGCAGTTCCGAGAAGGGGTGACCTTGACATGACCGGTCACCGAGCGCAGTTCCATGGAATGGGGGACTACTATAACATGGCCGGTCACCTAACGCGAGACATATATGTAGGACGGGCGACCAGCATACCCCAATCCAAAATCAAGACAGGCAGCTGCTTAAGGCCAAGAAACATTGTACTTCTCATTGACGGTGTAAAGATGACAAAAACAGCAGCTGCTGCGCTTCGAATGAATGAGGTAGCGTAAAGCTTTTAGCACCCATCGCTAATTGCGGGACAATCACCGCCAAATTATACATAGAAGTTGCAGTTCAAAGGTTATGGACATGCCATGTTACATCGAAGCTTTCAAATCCTGAATTAGACAAAGGACATTTAGACGGGATATTATATAGGTGTTTCAACAAACCCGTCTATATCGGATTTTGTGTCATGTAAGGACACGCTGTGAGCGACGATCGAAAGGCGGATAAAACATAAAGTAGGTAATTATATCGGTAATTGTTCCTGGCCAGATGAAATGTCAGATCCCAGAGGTAAACGGAGGTCAAAGAAGGCTCAACAAATGAAACTCGAAAAAAAACTTTTTTTCCTACCACATCAGCAACACAAGAGTACGACACAAACAGTCATCCGGCGTATTTGGCAGATCTCGACGCACATATTACACCGAGATCCGGGCCGCGCCGACTGTGATCCGTCGAGTGAAGGATGATGATCTCTCTGACTGCAGCGCAGAGCTCTCGCTCGGACGGACAAACCGCTGACTTGTGGTTTCTGTCTCAGCAGCTCCGCACTGAGCCGACCGGATTCCATTTGGACCGTCAAAAACAGTTTCAGCAGGGAATCAGTGGGGCGTATAGAGACCTGTAGCCAGCATTGTTTGTGTTGTGGCTTGGTCCGCTTACGGCATTGACCTTACTTGGAAGTGCTGCATTGTTGTGGTGTTTTCGTTTCTAGATTGATTTGTATGTACGCTTGATAGCACAATGCCCAAACGTTGTGGGCAGATGAGCTCTGTCTAAGGCATATGAAGTGTAACCAAAACATACGCAAACAAAGGATATTATGAAGAGATCTAATTAACGAGAGAGGGGGCAAGAGGAAAAGAGAGAGAGAGAGAGAGAGAGAGAGAGAGAGAGAGAGAGAGAGAGAGAGAGAGAGAGAGAGAGAGAGAGAGAGAGAGAGAGAAAGAGGGAGTGAGAGTGAGAGAGAGATAGAGAGAGAGAG